GCCCTTAACATCACCGAAAAACCTGTTCCTGAATATGATCCTCTTGAGCCCAATAAGGGCTTAAACCCAACAAGGCTTTAGGGTTTAGGGTATGATCCTCTTCAACCCATCAATAAGGGAAAATGTATAAAATGTCCCAAGGGCCTACCTAGTTCTGGAGCCCTCGGACACATGAGAGCTCCCAGGGAAGAAGGTGGGCTTCTGATACGAAGGCGTTCCAGGGTTTAGGGTTTAGGGTTTAGGGGTTTAGGGTTTTGGGGTTTAGGGGTTCGGGGGTTTGGGGTTTGGGGTTTGGGGTTTGGGGTTTAGGATTTAGGGTTTAGGCATTGCAACATCTTTGGGCTATCGCTGCACATCGTGAACCCTGAAACCCTAAACTTTTAACCAAAAAAGCCTACGCCCTGAACCCTGAACCCCTGCATTCAGCAGGGGAGTAAACCCTAAACCCTAAACCCTATACCCTAAACCCTAAATCCTAAACCCTCTGCCGCTCATCCCCTCCCACGTGCCGGCCCGACGTGGGTGTACTTACAGCCAGGATGGCCCAAGTTGAACCTGATTCTTCTAACTCTCACATTTTTGTTTTTCCGGTCTTAGGGTTCCGGGCTTAGGGTTTAGGGCTACTTTCCCTCGGTTTTAGGGGTCCGGGTTTAGGGTTTAGGGCTACTTTTCCCTCGGTTTTAGGGTTCCGGGTTTAGGGTTTAGGGCTACCCTATACACCTTAAACCCGACTACACCAGCAGCTTAAACTTAAACTTTAGACCTTAACCTAGAGAGTGCTGCAGGCAGACCCACCGTGTCCGCAGAGTTGGAAGGCAGCATGAACAGGGAGGGCCAGGGTTCGGGAGCAAGCCTCTCGAATCCCCTAATTGGGGTTTGGGGTTTGGGGGGTACCTACTGAGACCTACTGAAGCTCCCTACCTACTCAGAGCTCGTGAGCTCCATCGCCTGCGTCGCCTCGCCCCCGCTCGGGGGGAGAGAAGTGAGGCTGGGCCGAGCCAAAACCCCTTAATTAAGGAATATACCCCAATTCAAAGGGTCCTTAGTATGATTTGGAAGATTTGGGGTCTAGGGCTATGGTTTTGGGACCCCAGATCAGAGAAGCATGAGCCTTCAGGGTTGGGGATTCTGAAAGAGTCGAGCACTCCTGAGACCGAACCTAAACTCCAAACCTCAAAGCCTGCTTAGAAGCTCTGTTGACTTCGAAGGTTTACTTGGTATCCCTTGGCACCCCCATCATCATCCCCATAACCCACCTTACTAACCCTACCTACTAACCCCACAAACGAACCCCCAAAACGGCTGCCACATGAAGGGGGGTGCTGAGGCGACCATTTGGGCGGGAGATCTTCGGCACCCGCGCCGAGGAGAAAAAAACGCCCCAAACCCTGAACCCCAAACCCTAAACCCTAAACCCCAACCCCAAACCCCAAACCCCAAACCCCAAACCCCAAACCCCAAACCCTGCTCGGCGCCGTGCGCGTCGGCCCAGGTTGTATACGACTGGGGTGTGCCAGTGAGCGTGCCATCCAGGTCCCAGTAGACTTCCTGGGCTTCTACTGTTTGCTATTTTGCTTGTTCCTTTTCAGGGTAATATCGGGATTCTTATCTTTTGTTCTTTGGGGGTTCTTCAGCAAATAGCAGGCGGTTTCCATAAGGGCCCATGTCCTTCATTGTTATATTGCTTGGGCCCCAAAGTCCCGATGTAGGAGGTGCTTGATGGCCCAAGTATAGGGTTTAGGGTTTAGGGTTTAGGGTTTAGGGTTTAGGGTTTAGGGTTTAGGGTTATTTAGATACATGGACCCATAGGGTTTAAGAAAGCTTGGGGCTCGAGGGGGCCAGGGGGCATGGAGAATTTTTTGGGGGCGTAGGGTTTTAGGGTCTTCGGGGGTGTCAAGTTTGGTTCTACGGCCTTTTGGGGTCTTGAGGTTTAGGTTTGTAGTTTTAGGGGGCAGCTCAACATTCATCCCTGGACCTCTGTGCCCTTTATCTTGGGGCTGCTGTCAGACCCCTTTGAGGTCCATTGGGAGTTATTGGGGCTTAGGGCTTAGCCTGGATTGTCTTGGCGCAGTCGAGGCATTCGACGTGAGCTCCGCCGGTGATTCCGTTCCGTTCCGGTATGTGGGCAGCAAAGCCCTGTATAAAGCCTGAACCGTAAGCCCTAAACCCTAAAGCCTACAACCCCAAACCCCAAACCCTAAGCCCTGGGGTTTAGGGGTTTAGGGGGGATCAGTAGTTATGGTCTCGAATGTCTGCTTCCGCAAGACCCGGCCTTCTTGAAGACATGGATTCTCCTGGTGACGTTGATGAAGCCTCGGATGGTCGTTCTCGGGGTCTAGGGTTTAGGGTTTAGGGTTTAGGGCTTAGGGTTTAGGGTGTTGGGTTTCGGTGGCAACTTTGGCGCAGAATGAAGAGGCATGCTCAGCCATGAAGATTTAGTCCGACTGAGACCCTGCCCGCCACCCCCCCCCCCCCCCCAGTTACCCCAATAGAAGTCTTATAAGCCCAAAGTAAAGGGGTTTCGCAGCCATCAGCAAGGGTACTCTGGTGGTCGAAGCCGGAACCCCTCTATCCGAAAAAGGATAGGGCTTATCCATTTCGGGGGCTCTGGAAAGGCTTGAACCCTATAGCCCCATAAGATCCCATAAGCCTTCAAGCTGAAGACTGATAAGCCGCACCGGGAGTAAGCAAAACCATCACTCAAAGAGTGTAGGTTTTGGGGGGCTTTAGGCTTTAGGGGCGCGCCTTCTTCTAGGAATACACCTGAATTATGTTGATTCCCCTTGTTTCGTTTGTTGTGTTACTCAAATGAACTGAAGAGCTTGGGTCAACAACAGGCTGGTGGGAGGGCACCGAATGGTTTGTGCCATGGGAGCACCAGCGGAATCGGATCTTCAGGAACACACATGGGCATTTCCCAAAATAGGGGTACGTATCCCGTTCTTACCCCAAATCGAATAGAATCCCCTTGAAGGGACCCCCGAGAAGGGTACCCCTTTTTCGGGAATTACCCACATGGGCGAAGTCTTACGACTAAAGTCTACTGTAAGTCCTGACCCTAAACCCTAAACCCTAAACCCTAAACCCTAAACCCTAAACCCTAGACCCTAAACCCTAAACCCTAAACCCTCCTGAGCCACAAGCCCGAAAACCCTGAAGAGTTCCCCGGCTCTGACCTCAAGGAGCACCTCTGTGATCCCCTAAACCCCAAGCCCTAAACCCTAAATCCTAAACCCTAAATCCTAGACCCTAAACCCTAAACCCCCAAATCCTAAACCCTAAACCCTAAATCCTAAACCATGAATCCTAAACTCCAAACTCTACACCCTAATCTTAAACCTTAAACGGCTTGGGGAGCTGTTTCAAGGTTTAGGGTTCAAGGGTTCCTTTGGGAATAGGACAATGGGAGGACATTTGGTTCAGGGCCCTATGACGACTAGCTGCAGTCAGCTGATTCCACCCACCTGCAAACCCCCCCCCCCCCCCGCCCCCCACCCCCTTGGCCCTGCCGCTGGTCCTTATTCGTCCTGCAACACGTTTGTGCGACCCCTGAAATTGCGTCTGACGCGCATGAACTGGGTAGCCCAGTAACTGTTTGATAACAACGGAACCAAACACAAACCGGAAACAAAGGGCACCACTGGGCTCTCCAAGGAATGCAAAAGCCACTGGGCTACCACTGGGATACAAAAGCCACCCAAAACCCAAAAAAACAAAAATCCAAAAACCCAAAAACCCAAAAGCCCTAAACCCTAAGACCTTAGAACCCTACCTAGAACCCAAAAACCCCAAAACCCTAAAGGAAAACACAAAAGCAAGGAGCTGAGACCCTGGAAGCGGTAGGTGTGGACGCCCTGGCGCCACTTCGCCAGGCTCCTCGGCGCCGTGGTTTAGGATTTAGGATTTAGGGTTTAGGGTTTAGGGCTTAGGGCTTGTGCAGTCGTGGGCCCTCAAAGCCTATGAGGAAAGTAGCTGCAACCCCGCAAACCCTAAACCCCCCTAAAGCCCTAAACCCTACACCTAAACCATAAACCCTGAACGGCCCACAGCACCTTCGACCCTAAACCCCAACCCTAAACAGCAGGTTTTGTTTTGATTGGTGTTGTTTCTTGGGGGAGGGAGGGGGGGAGGGGGCGAGGGGCGGGGAGGAGTGGGGAGGCAGGGAGGGGCGGGGAGGAGCGGGGAGGGGGGGGGGGGGGGGGGTGGAAGAGGGACTGTTCGCCATGAAGGGAAAGCTGGTCTCCTATTCATGTTTTGAGAACAAGGGCCCCACTGCAACCCCAAACCCTAAACCCTAAACCCTAAACCCTAAACCCTAAACCCTAAACCCTAAACCCTAAACCCTAAACCCTAAACCCTAAACCCTAAACCCTACTCTAACGGGACACGCGATCGCTCCCTGTGCAGCACCGAAGCGACTGTACAAGGCTGAGGGTTCCGGCCAGCACTTCGAGCAGCCCTTGAAGACCGGCGACTGGGCGGTTTAGGGTTTAGGGGTTTGGGGTTTAGGGTTTAAGGGGTTTAGGGTTTAGGGTTTAGGGGTTTAGGCTTTAGGGGTTTAGGGTTTAGGGCTAGGGGGGTTTAGGGTTTAGGGGTGTATAGGGTTTAGGGGTTTGTGGGGTTTAGGGCCTCGGGGGGCTTTTATAGGAGGCTTTAGCAACGAAAGCCGCCCATATTTCCTAAGGCTACGAGAGTTTGAGGTGCAGGGTTCCGGGCATACTCCAGGTAAGCTTGCGAAGCAACGGCAAGGGAGGCAAAACCCGAAACCCGAAATGCCCCTCATATTCTACACCCAAAGCAGCCCATGTCCCCACCCTAACGAAGCCCAAGCCGTCTGCCTAAACCCTAAACCCTAAACCCTAAACCCTAAACCCTAAACCCTAAACCCTAAACCCTAAACCCTAAACCCTAAACCCCGACACCTCGAAACCTCCAAACCTCCAAAACCCAAACCCCTAAACTGCGGCTGAACCCCAGCCGCGCGCCTCGCCCAAGTTCACCCACATGGAATCCGCAGTCAGGAACTGCTCATTCTGCGGCAGCAGGACGGACCTGACAGTTGGAGCAGTTGGAGTTTCTTGCGTTTGTTCTTTTTGTTGGGGCGGGGGGGGAAGTCCAGGGTTTCCGGGGTTAAGGCCCTTGTGGGGCCCAAGATGGTTGAGGGTTGAGGTTCCTGGCACAAGTGGTCCATTGAGCAGACAGAAATGGTTTTGGCGAGCTTGTAATTCTCCTCATCTGGACCCGAAGTATGGCTGTACCTGAATTTGCGGTTTAGGGGTTATTCGGTTGTTGTCAACGATAACGAGGGGTCAGACGGCATTTGCATCCACAAGAAAAGCCAAATGCCCACATGGTCAGACATGTCAAACTTCAAACGCAATACTTACCTAACCCTAACTACTAGCTAAAAAATATATTGCTGCAATATAGGGGACATATACATATACATATAAATATAAATATAATTATAAATATCAATAAATATATAGATAATATATATATATATGTGTGTGTGTGTGTGTATTGTTTTTTGGGGGGAGGGTGTTCTTAAGCAAATAGCAGCTAAGGGCCTAAGTTTCATAAGACTGCGGGTCCTTCCAGACAAGGACACATTGACTCATACCCAAACTCGTGCCACACTGGGTGCCCGCGGTAGTCAGCTTAAACGGCCCCTTCCGCCCCACGCAAGCCACACCACCTTGAATACATCACCTACTTGAGAGCCTTGCTGATAAACGTACCAGCCCTAAACGCTGAAACCCAAACCCGAAACCCCTAAGAGCACCTGAAACCCTTAAGCAACTTACATAGGGGATAGGATTAGGGGGACCCTTGGGGATACAGACCCTCTGAGTAAGGTCCCTTGTTAAGGGAGCCAGAAGAGGGTTAAGAAGGGGTTCCCTTTTAAGGGTCCCCCTTATCCCACCTAGGATTACACCCCTATGCCCACACCCCAAGTCTGACAAAGCAATGCTAGGCCCGACGCTGGGACTGACGCGAGGACTTCTTGTGGAGATTCTGCGGCAGAACAGCACAGAACACGGAGTCCTCCGGACCGGTTTAGGGTTTAGGGTTTAGGGTTTAGGGTTTACTAGTTCATTGTTGGGATAATATTAAAATTTTAAATTTATATTCCTTATTGGGTTTAGGTACCCTTAAAAATGTAAAATGTCACCCAACTATGACAAAGTTTAGGGTTTTAGGGTTTTAGGGTTTAGGGTTTAGGGTTTAGGGTTGTCAGGTTTTCAGGGTTTTGGGTTTTAGGGCAATATGCGATCTTTTGGATTTTGGAGGCTGGGCCCAGGACGTGTGAGGGGGCGGGCATTGTTGGGGTTTTTGGCTTGGAGAACTTGGGTGCTCTTTGCACCCTGGACTCTTGTAAACACGCGCAGCCTTCCCTCTAAGAGCCCATATACCTGTATAGTATATGGGTGGCTGTCAATATTCCTTCTTCCAGGAACGGCGGATGCTGTATAGTATATTATACTGGGACCTTAAAGGGATCATAGTAGCTTTAGGGCCCAGGCACATACGATGACAAAAACCAAGACGCAATGACACAGAAACGCCGGAATTGCTACCAGGAAAACAAAACCAAAGTCTTGGAGAATCAGGCTCAGAAAGTGTTGTGTCAATGTGGCTCGACACATAGAAAAGAGGACAAAGCTAGACACTTAAAGACGAAACACACACCTGATATTTTTCGTCTCATGACAAGTATGATACATGCAGCTTGCAATGTTCCCCTTACAAAACCAGTCCTTCACAGGGATTACAGTACCACTATTATACTCCCTATTCAGGACTGTAAGTATAGGGGGAACATCCCAACATGCAGTTCCTGAATATGTGTGTGTGTAGAAATGAAGCCAGCTTGTCTTGAATCGGTTCTGATGTTGCGCAATCTTATCCCTAAACCATATTCTATTTAAGAAAGACTATTCAAGAAGACCATTTCCACTTTCTACGGGTAGGAGTTTCGGATTGGGTGTTGTTGGTTTAAGGTTGAGGTATAGGTTGTTATGCTTTGGGTGGTGGTGCATAGTTACAAAAAGGAAATGGTCTCCACTAACTTAAACCCCTAAGCCCTAAACTGCAGCGCCCACAACTAAGGCACACCCTAAACCCTAAACCCTAAACCGTCCTTGATGTGCGGGATGTTCAGGTAGTCCGTCTCCCACTTGCCACCGTGCGGCACGCCCGCTGCTTTCTTGAACTTGACGATGAAAATGTCTTGCCTCGGGCGCTTAAGAGTGGGGGTTCGGGGTTAGGGTTTAGGGTCTAGGGTTTAAGGTTTAGGGTTTGGGTATCCTTTTGAGGGTTCCTAGAATCAAAAGAATACTGTTTTCGGGCAAAAACAGGGTACCTCGATTTGGGGAACACCCAAGTGCCGTTTTCTTCCAACAAAAATTTCCACGACGCCCCAATGGACCGAGGAGGTCAAGCAGAGGCTCTCGGCAGGTCCAGGCGAATGACGCACACAACCCTAAACCCTGAACCCTAAAACCCTAAACCCTAAACCCTAAACCCTAAACCCTAAACCCCAGCAACCCATGAGCCCTACACCTCGAAACCCGCAAGCCCTACATCCTCAAAACCCTTAAGCCCCTAAGCCCTCAAAACTGCTTGAGCCAGTATGCCCGAAAAGTACCCGAAAAACCTCACTCCCAAACCCGAAAACACCTCGCGCAACTCTTGAGGCTGCTACGATTTCGCCTCGACGGACGTCATGTGGTGGTTGTGGACGGAGCCCATCTTTGCCAAAGCCCCCAGCTGGGGCTTAGGGTTTAGGGGATTGGGGGGGTACCTACCCTCGCCAGGGTGCCCCCCTCCCCCCCCCCCCAACTAGTTCTACGTCTAAATTGAGTAAAAGGAGTTCTAACTTAGGCGATATGTGCCCCTTAGTTCCCCGTCCTATAGCAAACTTGCTAGGTACCGACGGCCCTCGAACCTCCATATGACCTATGGTTTTAATGACGAGTCCCCAGAAAAGCTATGCTGTTTACTACGAGTACCCTGAAAAGACACAACGGGAAAAACAAGTCGCCAACAAAAGAAAAACACACAAACACTCACCAAAAACAGTAATATAAACCATGCCTCAAAGCCCCTTCAAAGAGATTGGGGCACCAACAGCAGTATATACATCCCTAAACCCTAAACCCTAAACCGTAATCCCTGAACCTTAGCATCGCTGCAAAACCATTGTCTCAAGGTTTGGGGGTTGAGGTGCAGGATTTCCATGATCCCTTGCAGTCATAGTAGACACATTATTTGAAAATCCTGGATAGTGCAGCTGCCTTTGTTACTTTATGGCAAGCTTGTGGGGGAAGGGCCGGGAAGGTTTTAGAAGCTTCTCGTAGTTTGTGTTTTGTGGTTTTCGGTACCCTGGCTGTAAGCAGACTCAGCCAGGAGCTCCCAAGACTTAAATCTGGGTCAAGCAGACTCAGCCCCTAGCTCCCCCAAGTCTTAAGACCTCACACCTACAGTCTTTTTAGGAGCTCTGTCGCATGTTGCGTTGGGATCTTCCCCCTTATACTAGCAGTCCTTTATCGGGATTATCGCACCCCTATAATCCCTACCTCAGGCCTGTTAGTATAGGGGGGGAGCATCCCAACATGTGTCATATAACCCCGTTTAGGGTTTAGGGTTTAGGGCTCAGGGCTCAGGGCCAGGTAGGTGGCTACGATAGAAGGCTTCTGATTCACGTGGCTTCCGGCGCAGGCTTGCAAACCCAAACTCCAAAAGCCCCTCAACCTTGGTAGCCCAGGAACCACATTATAATAAGGGCACCCTTTTTTGGCTACTTTCTAAGGGAACCCAGGGCAAAAAGAAATAAAGGGTACCGCTGGGCTACCAAGAAACCCCCCTAACCCTAACCCTAAACCCTAAACCCTAAACCCTAAACTCCAAAAGCCCCTAAACCCCAAACAAGCGCTACGGGCAACCGCTGGTGCCCAGCCTTCATGGCATTGTAGCAGGCCTTCCCAACCTCCCAACCTCAAGTGACACAGGCAAATTAGGGTTTAGGGTTTGGGGTTTGGGGTTTGGGGTTTGGGGTTTTTTACTCCTCCAGGATGGCCGTTAAAACCCTCAGGAAAGTTTTCCCAAATATGGTCCTCTTAAACCCAATGAACTGAGGGAAAATTATAAAAATGTCCCAAGGGCCTACCTTGTGTTGGTGTGTAGGGATTCAGGTCTAGGGTTTTGGGGTGTCGGTTTGTTTTCTGCTTCGGGCTTCAGAGGTTTTCGCCGCCGATTTCGACGCCGCAACAGCGGATTTGGGCCGCACATGGCGAGGCTCCTAAACCCTCAACCTTCAACCCTCAAACCCTACACCCACTACGAGCAGGATAAGCCGGAAGCGGCTCCTGATGTTGTCATGCTCGGCTTTAAGAACCATCTCATAATACTTGTCGGAATCAGAACCACAAACAGCATTCATCCTGATAATTCGCATCAGCATATTAATACTCACAATATGTATTAATAATTGATACATAAAACTCATCATGCTACTGTATTAAGAGTGCTTACTAAGAGTGCTTAGTCATATTCATCATAGCAAACATCTAAGGGCATGGATGGTGCCATTGCATGCACCTACCATCCTTTCCCGGCCTCTCCCAGGCATCCATGCATCTTGTGTGTGATGCCACGACACCATGGTTTAGGGTTTAGGGTTTGGGGTTTAGGGTCTGCGGTTTAGGGTTTCGGATTGAGGGGTACTACCCAAAACCCTAAATCCTAAACCCCATCACGGCCGTCACACATCACTCGGGGAATCTCTTGCGCTGGGAAGCTCTATGCCTCTAGCCCGTGGACGGTCGCCACGACCCGAAGAATCATGCTATTCTGGGCCCGAAGGGCCTTCTATACCATGCTTCTTCAAGCTTCTGGCAGCCGGGCGGAACCTTTCGCCCCCTGAGCAGCAGGCACGTGGTGTTGAAGAGGATCTGAGGGTTCTCATCGGACTCGGCGTTGCACGGCTCCTGTATGCAGCTTCCGTCTCACTGAGAAGTAGCAGCCGCCTAAGCCGCTGTGGGACCCCTCGAGAATTGCCGAGGTAGCCAGGAACACAAGAAGCTAGATTCCATCTCTCGAGGCTCTAGCAAGTTACACTCGCCGATTCCTGATCCCAAGCTTTCAGCCGTGCTTCTTACTGTTGGTTAAGGGTTGAGGATTTAGTTAGCAGGGAATGAGGGAATTAGGGCCCTATATATACCCTTTAAGGTATTGTATCGGGTACCTCATTCCCCCATCCCCTGCTAACCAACCGTAAGGCATGCAGTCCTTTCGCGGAAACCATTTCAAGTAGACCCGGATGCAGCTGCCTTGCAACAGGACGTCTGAGGCAGACAAGTAGGTTGCCCAGTGAACTAGGATGAAAAAGGGTGCCCTTTTGTGCTTAAAGGGGTTTATAAGGGAACCTAAACCTACCAAAAAGGTAATAAGGGTACTACTGGGCATCCTAGACAACTTCATTGATAAGGTGCCTGTGTACGAGGGTTCAGGAACAAGCAACCCTGACCCTGAAAACCCCAAACCCCGCCGGCAGCGGCAAGTGAGCAGCAAACAACGCGGGGTAGCATCCCGAAACAACTCCCCAGGAGAACTCCTCAACCCTTAGTATTGGGTTCGTCAGGGGCCCTGCCCCCCCCCCCCCCAACCCCTAAACCCTAAACCCTGAAAGAATAAACATAAAAGTAGTGGAATGAGGGTGCTGCTGGTCGTCCTGGCCTGAACGCCTACAGAAAAGCAAGCGCTTACGGTCCCAGGGTTTCCATTAACACGCTTTAGGGTTTAGGGTTTATAGGGTTTATAGGGTTTATAGGGTTTATAGGGTTTATAGGGTTTATAGGGTTTATAGGGTTTATAGGGTTTAGGGTGAACTATATTCCTGAATAGGATCCTTAGCCCCAAGAGGATAAATGTATATCAAATGTCCCAAGGGCCTACCTAGGGTTTAGGGCTCCGGCATCCATCCAAAATTCTACGAACGCAGATTCCGCAACCCAAAGCCCAAAAAGCTGACTGACTCGAAGACCACAACAAGTTCGTCACTAGGATGCCCTGTAACACTCTTTCAAACATGTTCCGAAATAGGATCCTCTTAACACAATCAGGAAAAAACATCCCAAGCGGCTACCTAGGTCAGTTTTGAGGAATTTTGTGGGCTTCGGGACGCTCTTTACTCCCTCCCCTCCATCTCTCAGAGAGAAGTCTGAACGGCTTAGTGCGTAGAGGGTTTAGGGTTTAGGGTTTGGGTTTAGGGTCCAGGTTTAGGTTTCGGCAGCAAGGTTCAAAACCCTGCAAGCAGCTCTCTCAACGAACCCAGGCGTGCACCGTGAAACCCAAAACGCTACCTTTTTGGGGGGGGGATACCTAATGTTCGGGCAAATGCTGAAATTGAGTCACCGGTAGGTGCCTAAACCCTAAACCCTAAACCCTAAACGCTAAACCCTAAACCCTAAACCTTAAACCCTAAACCTGAATTGTGGCCTGGAAGATGATGGCAGCGATTACGGGACCACTCACCGATGCGGTCGCCGACGGGGCAGATTGTGTTCTGCGCGTGGACGATTTTGGGCGGCCGGGTGTGCATCAGAGGGTTTAGGGTTAAGGGTTCAGGGTTCAGGGTTTAGGGTTTAGCGTATCAGATAGTATGCTTTCTGCAACAATGTATCACAATATGTAACCGTATGGAGCCATACATAACACTATATAATAGTAGAACACAATACATAGCAACAGAACAATATGACAACATGACCATATGACGAGAGGACAATATAACAATATTCCATAGCAATTGGGGCTTCTGGCAGCTTGGAAAAATCGGGAACCCAAAGTATAGGCCCTTACTTTGGATCCCCTGATATATAACCCCTGTTTCTTTAATATAAACTAATACGAGTACTAATACTAATACTAATAAGAATATGATGATAATGATAATGCCAATAAAAGTAATAATAATAGTAATACTAGAAATAATAATCATCATGATAGCAAAAACAATAACAATAACAATGATGATAATAATAATAATAACAATTTGAATAATAATCAGGGCACATACTTCGGATCCCTTTAAATCCTTTTAAACAAGGCTAAGGGATCCTACTAAGAGGCCACCCTAAACCCTAAAGGCCCTAAACCCTAAACCCTAAACCCTAAACCCTAAACCCTAACCCTGGGTGTCCCTGAGACCCCGGCGCCCTAAGCCACTGCAACTCCCAACAAGCCCCCCCCCCCCCCCCCCCAAGCCAAACGCCGAAACTACACCCAAACATGAAGATATTCTTCCTTACAATGGGCAACACAGGGATTATCACTCTCTGATAATTTGGTTTGGGGGGGGGGGGGGGGGGGCGGGGGGAGATTCTGAAGCAAATAGTAGAAAAAATGAATTTGTTTTTTCCTTACAGTGGGCAGTATCGTGATGAACGTTCTCTATGTTGGGGAAGGGTTCCTGAGCAAGTAGTTGAAAACCCTGAACCCCAGGCAAGCCTTGTAGATGTCCATGTTGTGTGAGATGGGTGTGCCCGGCCTGGTTGGAGGAATGGAGATCTCGGGTGCATGCATTTAGGGTTTAGGGTTTAGGGTTTAGAGTAATGATTAATGGCGAGTCACGGCTCTTCCATTCCACCCTAAGCCCAGGATACCCTGCTTTCGATCATCGGATGAGGCTTTGGGGACTAACTTGGGCTCTGGGCCCAACAGCCATCTTGGAGAAAGGGTGCGACCAGGCTTTCTGCAGAAACGGGAGTTCAGGGTTTGGATTTAGGGTATAGGACAAAACCCTCTTAAACCCGAAAAGCCCTAAGATGCTCTCCGCCAGCCATTCTCGCTTGGGCCACGGGCAGCTGGAAATACCAACCGTCTGATCCCGTCACCGCCACCTTCAAGGGCAAGGGCTCCGGGTTTAGTTCAACAGGATTTTGCTGCAACGACTGTAGCCTTCGCATAGGGGCTTGATGGACCTTGATGTTGGGTTCTCCTAAGCCTCATCTCCCTTTTCATAGGGGCTGATTGAAGGTTTGTCTGGGGTAGGTTGACCTAAAAAAATGAATTCTATGGCTTTGTAAGGGGGAAAATGAAAACATGTTCAAACCTGCCCCCGTAGTCTGGGCTGACGGACCATGCGGGCGAATTCTACCACCGTGAAACCCTGCGACGTGATTCTTGGCTGAGGTTGAAACCATGGTCCCCTAGTACGGGTCAGGGTTTAGGGTTTATAAGGGTTTAGGGTTTAGGGTTTAGGGTTTAGGGTTTAGGGTTTAGGGTTTAGGGTTTAGGGAAAGTCGACCCGTGTATATTGGGGGAGACGCGAAACCCAATGAGCGCAGAGGGTTCAGGATTTTGACTTTGTACCCTTGCCATAGGAATCCAGAGTAATTATGGGCCCTTCTTGTATATAGGGTACATAAGGGTTGTATAAACTACAAGGGGTACCCAAAACCCTTTAAACCCTTTTAAACCCTTTAAACCCTTTAAACTCTAAACCCTAAACCCTAAACCCTAAACCCTAAACCCTAAACCCTAAACCCTAAACCCTAAACCCTAAACCCTAACCCTAAGTACCCATGAACTTCCAAGAAGGAGCCAACTCCCCAGTCTGGGTGCCCGGGCGTTGTCTCTCCATACCTTGGGGCTGCGCTGCTGATCATTACGGGCTTCAGGGAGGAAAAGTTTTAGGCTTTATAGGGTTTAGGGGGTTTAGGGTTTAGGGTTTAGGGTTTAGGGTTTAGGGTTTAGGGTTTGGGGTTTAGGGTTTGGGGTTTGGGGTTTAGGGTTTAGGGTTTGGGGTTTAGGGTTTGGGGTTTAGGGTTTGGGGTTTACGGTTTGGGGTGTAGGGTTTGGGGTTTAGGGTTTAGGGTTTGGGGTTTAGGGTTAGGGTTTGGGATTTAGGGTTTGGGGTTTGGGGTTTGGGGTTTGGGGTTTAGGGTTTAGGGTTTGGGGTTTAGGGTTTGGGGTTTAGGGTTTGGGGTTTAGGGTTTGGGGTTTGGGGTTTGGGGTGTAGGGTTTGGGGTATGGGGTTTAGGGTTTAGGGTGTAGGGTTTGGGGTATGGGGTTTAGGGTTTGGGGTGTAGGGTTTGGGGTTTGGGGCTTAGGGGCTACAAAGGAGGATTCAAGGCTTCGGCGGGTTCGACAATCGCTTTGGCCGTAGGGTTGTCATCATTAGAGGCCAAGCCCGAAGAACTCCAAACTCCCAAACCCTGAGCTGCAAGCCCAGGAAACAAAAGCTGAAGCCCAAGCCCTAAACAATAAACCCTAAACCCTTAACCCTAAACCCTAAACCCTAAACCCTAAACCCTAACCCCCTAAACCCTAAACCCTAGACCCTCATCCGGGTCACGTTGTTCATGGCCGCGGTCCAGAATCCAGCAGGCTCCTGAGGGCAAAAGCAGCGACCCTAAACCCTAAACCCTAAACCCTAAACCCTAAACCCTAAACTTAAACCCTAAACCCTAACCCCCTAAACCCTAGCCCCCTAAACCCTAAGCCCCCTAAACCTAAACCCCCTATTCAAAGCCCGAACAATTGCCTTAGACAGGGCCCTAAGCCGACCCCTCAGCCCGCCTGGTCGCTTTCCAACATACCCGACAGGAGCGGAATGGCGCCGACCTCAATGGGGCGGAGGACTTGCTGGTTCTCAGTAGGGAACCACACCCTCTAAACCCTAAACCCTAAACCCTAAACCCTAAACCCTAAACCCTAAACCCTGAACCCTGAACCCTATGGTTCTGGGCTTGTGGTGCTCGCGCACCGCGCCCCCGGGGCCAGCGCTGCAAGGTTGCCTTCCAGAACGTTGAACCTGGTTTAGGGTTTAGGGTTTAGGGTTAGGGTTTAGGGTTTCGGGTTGCTAGGGCTCCTCGTGGGGAATAGCGCGCGCCCACGTCAGCAGCATCAGAGGAGTTACCAGTGGGGAGGGCTGGGGGCAAGAGGGCTGGGACAAGCATAAAACCAGGTCCGTCACTTTGCGCGCAGGAAGGTGCATTATTTGTGGATGCATTTGCTGTTGCTGCTGCGATTGTTGCTGGCATTCTGCGTCTGATGCCATGTGTGTTTCAGATGCGTTTGCACTTGTATGAGGTTGCACTTGCATTTGTATTGGCATATTTACATATCTGCACACTTGCATACTTGTGAGACTGTATCACATGTGTATTAGCTGTATATGTCTATATGTGTATACTTGAATATTTTATATACTTGAATATTTGCGTACTTGTGTGTTTGTTAAGGCTTGCATCTGCATCTGCGCTTGCGCTTGCATGTGTCATTGTGGTTGTCATTCTCCGTAGTATTGCTTTTGTCTGCCGTCGTCCTTGTTGTTCTCCTGGTTGCTAGCCCGTTCTTCTCATTATTGTTGTTGCTGCTGTTGTTGAGCCTTGTGGTTGACCTCCCCAAACCCCCCCCCCCCCCCCCCCCCCCCCCCACACACCCTCCCCAACAAACTATTAGCTAGGCCCAAGAGCGAATGCTACTTTGAAGCTTCGGCATTTTGAGTGTGAGAGCTTGAGGCAGCGGCATCTCCATTCCCGTCTCGATAAAGAACCTCAGCATTTAAGCAGCAAACCCCACGCCATCCCACAGAACTCTCACACCCGAAACCAAACCCTAAACCCTAAACCCTAAACCAGGCTTGGGGTCCAGGGAACCAAATGGCCATGCACCCTATTTCAGGTTTTCGGTGCGGAGCCTGACCATTCAGGCAACCCTCATGAGCCACCCATAGAGGGAGCTGAAGGCTGAAGGTTAAGCTGCCGGATATAGATAGGGGCCATAGTACCCCAGAGCGCTAAAACCGAAAACCCTAAACCCTAAACCCGGCGAATAGTTGCCAAGCAAGGAGCATGTGTCCGATGATGTCGAAGGCAACGTTGCCCTTCACCAGCACGTAGTTTGTGCCGTGAATGGCTACCGCCTCGGTTTAGGGTTTAGGGTTTAGGGTTTAGGGTTTAGGGTTTAGGGTTTAGGGTTTAGGGTTTAGGGTTTAGGGTACACTCAACAGCCAGTCTGGTGCCAGTGAGTGCGAGGTGACTTACGGGCTTCGAGATTCAACTAACTATGTAGTTCATACATGGATTCGGGCAGGCACACACTAACCCCCTAAACAACAAATTTAGATTCTATAATGTGTTTTAGTCTTCCCCTGGTTTTATATACAGTACATACTTTAAAATAAAAATATTTCTTGAGGAGGCTACTGGATAAGGTCCGGATAGTCGCATTCTGTGCTGGTATGAGCATGAGGATTCGGCAAGCTGTACAAGGTTCCTATGACGTTTTCGCTGTGCAATCCCGAGGTACCCCATTCCAATAACTTCAATTCGGTTTCCGTCGGGCACAGCCCGATTCAGAGTGCACCTGAGTACCCTAAACCCTAAACCCTAAACCCTAAACCCTAAACCCTAAACCCTAAACCCTAAACCCTAAACCCCAACGTGGCCGCCCTGAGTAGCGGGCGCGCTGGAAGCTGTGGTGGATGGAGTTGAACTTGGCATAGCAGAACTGGCCGTAGTCCTGGGAAGCGGAACACATGAACAGGGCAGGGTTGCGAACCTTATGTTTAGGGTTTAGGGTTTAGGGTTTAGGGTTTAGGGTTTAGGGTTTAGGGCTTAGGGCTTAGGGTCGCTATGAAAACCTCTTTGATCTAGGCTTTGTACCTCGGACCCTTAAGGTTGTACCCTTGGGTTTTGGGGTACCCTTGTTAACGATCCTTCAGGTGGTATAAGGGCCATCCTAGGAGTTTTTGAAGGGGAACCTTGAGGGGTACAACCTTAGGGGTACGAGAGTAGGGTTTAGGGTTTAGGGTTTAGGGTTTAGGGTTTAGGGTTTAGGGTTTAGGGTTTAGGGTTTAGGGTTTAGGGTTTAGGGTTTAGGGCTTGAATTGAATCAAAAAGCTGGGATATCCTAATCCTGCCTGGGTGATGTGGAAGTGGATGGGGTACCTGGCCATGGGAACTTCGGGCGGGAACCCGGAATGCAGGCAAGCCAACACACCCCACACACAGTGTCTTGGGGAAGTTTCTCTGCTTCGTTTGTGCATCATGGAGCTTGCATAGCAACCAGGCCCCAACAAAAGGAGTACAAAAACAGAAACTGGGCGGGGGGGGTCCCAGAACCTAGATAATGGACGCGAAGGGGTTTGGGGGGGGGGGGGTGGGGGGGGTTGGGGGGGGGTGGGGGGGGGGTGGTGGGGGGGGGGGGTGGGGGTGGGGGTGTTGGGGGGGGGGGTGGGGGGGGGGGTGGGTGGGGGTTGGGGGGGGTTGGGGGGGGGGGGGTTGGGGGGGTGGGGGGGGGGGGGGTGGGGGTGGGGTGTTGGGGGGGGGGGGGGGGGTGGGGTGGGTGGGGGGGGGGAGGGGGGGGGTTTGGGGGTGGGGGGTTGTGTGTGGGGTGTGGGGGTGTGAAGGGTGGGTGTGGTGGTTGGTGGGGTTTGTGGGGGGGGGGGTTTTTCAGCCCTACCTCATGTAGGCCATTGCTATGGGAAAGTTTGGGGTTAGGAACGCAAAGCCTAACCCTCAATCCGTGAACATCCTAACACAACACCGACACCGAGATTTACTTTTTTACTCACTGAAAAAGTGGGGGGGGGGAGTGAATGCAGGTACCGCCACGCCCTGAGGGCTGCAGCTGTAAAGCCTAGAGCCTACACTCGAACCCCTGCGTAAGCCCTACACTCTTACACCTTGCCCCAAACCCTAAGACCCTGGATCACCGATATGAAACTTGGCATTTAAGGGGTATATACATACATACATACATACATACATACATACATACATACATACATACATACAAAAAAAATATATATATATATAAATATAGGGGATTTAGGGGTACCTCATTCCCCCATTCCCTCCTAAGAACCGGGGCAGGAACCCTAAACCCTAAACCCTAAACCCTAAGCCCTAAACCCTAAACCCTAAACCCTAAACCCTAAACCCTAAACCCTAGACCCTAGACCCTAGACCTAAACCCCTAAACAAGACAAAGGTCCTGCCTGGACATCTCTCCTGTCTGGCCCAGTCGGTAGAACCTTGGCTTGCCAAACAAAGAGGCTCCCGCGCGACTCCAAGGCTTTTGGCCTTTAGGGGTTGAGATAGGGTGTTTAGGGGTTTTCGGGTTTGTGGGGTTCTAGTTTTAATGCTTTTTAAGGGTGTGGGTTGAAATTTAGGGTTGCGGGTTTAGTGTTACAGGGAAGGCATTGGGGTGCCTGTTTTGCACACGGATCACTCTTGGCCTTCCAAACTCTTGAGCCTAAGCCGACAACAATTCCCAACAGGCCCAATGGTCCCCCTAAAAGCCCGAAACCCCAAAGCGGTTTAGGGTTTAGGGTTTAGGGTTTCGGGTTTAGGGTTTAGGGTTCGGGGTTCGGGGTTTTGGGCTAGCGAGCTGAGCGGAGACTTCATAAGAGGTCCCGGCTCTGCGTTCTCGATGCGGTAGATGCCACCGAAGGCTACCTTCCCCAGAAAGGTGGGTTTCAAGGTTGACGCCTTTAAACCCTTTACGGGGTTTAGGGTTTAGAATTTAGGGTTAGGGTTTGGGGTTTAAGGAAGAAGTTTTCGTCCTTAAATAGTATTGCGGAATCAGCTTCGCAGGTTTGGCGTTTCTGAGGAGTCAGAGCTTGGCTGGCACACATGCGGGTTAAGGCGTCAGGGTTCGGGTGGCTTTTGGGGGGGCCTCGGGAGTTCTGGGGTTTAGGGTTTAGGGTTTAGGGTTTATAGGGTTTAGGGTTTAGGGTTTCTGGTTTCTGGTCCCCGAAAGCCCCTGCATGCCTGGTTTCTGGTCCCCGAAAGCCCCTGCATGCCAAAACACCTCAACCATGAAGCCCCAAGACCTCCAAGCTCTGCCCCGAGCACTGCAGGGAGCTCTTCGAACTACAGTGAAGGGCCTTATAACCTGAGGTAGGATCCTTATAACCCAAATTGGGGCCCGGAGAACTCTACTTAGAACTCAGGGCTGAACACCAAGACCTTCAGGCATCCGGCATGCATTACATCTCGGTTCGATTGCAGGCGGGATGCATGGAGGGGCTTGGTAGCCAGGCAGGAGTTAGGGAGTTGGAGCTGGGTGGGATTTATAGTGGTGTTTAGGGGCGAAGGAGGTTTTAAAGTAGGGTTGGAATAAGCTTTAGAGGTGTCGGTGTGGGAGGGCTGGGGGATGAGGTTCAAGGACTGCGCATATAGGTGCTCGGCCGACTCACGAGAGGCCTGCGTGTGGCCACCCCACTGGTCAAGCTCGGATGTCCTGAGGGGTTAGCAACGCAAGCATACAGGCGCTGGCTGCCCCTAAACCCTAAACCCTAAACCCTAAACCCTAAACCCCTCAACCCTAACCCCTAAACCCTAAACCCTAAACCCTAAGCCATCCACCAAACCCCGTACCTTCAAGCCCAAGGGCACGCGCCCGGGCGGGAGCAGGGGCAGATGCCCGCAGTTTCCTGAGAGCAAGGCTCATCTCCCTGGATCTTCACGTTGCGCGACAGCAACGCCACCTGCGCTCGCATCTAGCTTCCTGGGGAACCCTTGACATCCCTGGGCCCACGGCTTGAGGGACCTACTGTAGTATCAAATAATACTATTAGCTTTAGAGCCCCCAAAAGAAGGACAACTGTGATCCCCAGGTTGCCCTTATCAGGGAGGCTGTCTTGCATTTTTGGGGGAGGGTTCTTAAGCAAATAGCAGTATCACCCTGCACCCTAAACCCTAGATCATGTCACCTCCTCCGTCAACAAGTGCGAAATAGGCTTGCAGGGGGGCAAACCTCCGCGGACAAGTCAATGTACTCGTCGTCCAAGGGCCGGATGTAGTACGTGGAGATGTGCTGGAACCTCGGCTGCTTCTGCTTTGCATCAAGGTTGGGGCGCGGTTAAGGACGCAAGTATTATAAAGGGGAGCATCCCAACCTTCCAGCCTTAACTGTGCTGCTTTTGTGCCTTACAGGTGGGTTTTGTTGAAACGGAGCATCATAAGGAACACGCACGCACAGACATGAAGACCTCAACAAGGACATAACTTAAATCAACCCCCATGCACCCCCCCTCTCTCCCGCTCTTCCGGGGTAGGTTTGGGGGGGGGGGCAAATAAACATGAAACTCTTATGGCTTTGCACGGATGATGTAGGGATTAAGAAAAATAACAAAATCAACCCTTATAAACCCTAAACCCTAAACCCATTATGCTCAAGCCTACTACCCCCCTGTCTTCTCTTCTCGAAACATCCCCATCCCTTGAAAGGCCTAAACCCTAAACCCTAAACCCTAAAAACCCTAAACCCTCAACCCCCCAAAAAAAGGCCATCCCTGGGCTCCCGGGCTCCAGGGGCGCCGTGAGGTAGATGGTCTTCATGTCGGCCGCCACACTTCGGATGAACACGCGCCTTAAGGGGCTTGTTCTGGTTTTTATGATTATCATTATTGCTGGTGTTATAACCATTATTATGAGTTTATTATTATCATTATCTATTATTATTATCATCATTTGTTTGTGTTTGTGTTTTTTTTTTTTTTGGGGGGGGGGGGGGGGGCACACTTCGGATGAACACGCGCCTTAGGGGCCTGTTCTGGGAATTTCTTTGTTGGGGGGGGGGGTCAGGGTTTAGGGGCTCAGGGGGGTTTAGGGGTTTAGGGTTCAGGGTTCAGGGTGCGGAGCCACATGTCATGGCACGCTGTCTGACAGCTTTAAGTTCCTCGCGGAGCTTTAAGTTCGGTGCTTTTAACCTTAAAGTTCAAACTTTTAATTTAAACTCCGAACTTAAAGCGGAGCGAAGATTAAAAGCTTTTAAGTTCTGCGCTCCGCTTAGAGCGCTAAGTTTTAAAGTCAACAGCCAAGGTTAAAGATCTGCGCTTTAAGCGGAGCTGAGCTTTAAGTAGTGCGCTGTGCTTAAAGCTCAAAGTTAAAAGTTCGTGCTTGAAAGTAAAAAGTTAAAGCTTTAAGCACAGCGCCAGGAGCGGAGCTTTAAGCTTAAAGCTGTGCTTTCCTTCTCACTTTCCCAAAACGGCGCCAGAGCCCGGAAATAGGTACTGCTATATGCTCCAAAGACGCCCCCGGCCCCGCCTTACCTCGGTGACCGAATGAACCCTACAATTGGGGTCATGTACCCAATACGCCTAAAGGTCCTATTCAGGCATGTGAACCATATGAACCCTAAAGCCTTTCAGGGCTCCTTTGATCCTTCGGTCCCCAAAGTCGGTTTAGGGTTTAGGGTTTAGGGTTTAGGCTTTAGGGTTTAGGGTTTTCAGCAAAGCTATAAAACCCTAAACCCCCTCACAACAAGGACAAAAAAGCACGGAGACCAAGCCATGGGCTCATTCTGGAAGTCCACTGGCCTCGGAGGGTAAGGTGTCTAGGGCTTTGGGGGTTGTTAGGGGGGGGTTTAGGGTTTAGGGTTTAGGGTTCAGGGTTTAGGGGGTGGTTTGGGTTTTGGGTGTTCAGGGGTTTAGTCGCTTTGGGTGTTGGGGCAGTTGAGAAAGTTGAGAGTTAGGTGGACATCTGGGCAATGACCTTCTGTGCGCAGCAGCGCTTTGGCTTGTGCGGGTTTTGGGCTTAGGGTTTGTGAGCTACCTGACGTGTGGGTCTAGTTCCCTAAACCCTAAACCCTAAACCCTAAACCCTAATTCTAAAAGAGCCGCAATCAATCCAACCCCCAGCCTTCGCGCGACAGTTGTCGGCATGCACATACCCAGACATACCCAAAGGGTTTGGGCTGCGCACTACACTAAACCCTAACCTAAACCCAAAACCCTCCTAAACCCTAAACCCTAAACCCCAAACCCCAAACCCTAAACCCTAAACCGCAAACCCTAAACCCCAAACCCTAAACCCCGAACCCTCAACCCTAAACCCTAAACCCCAAACCCCAAAACGTCTGCACCGGCGTTTGGGCCCCCGACGGTGCGCCGTGCAGCCCGTTGCCGTCGAAGTGCTTGTGTGGGATCTCCGTGGCCTGAACAGGAGTGGGGTTTAGGGTTTAGGGCTTAGGGTTTGGGGTTTGGGGTTTAGGGTTTAGGATTTGGGGTTTAGGGTTTTTGGGGGTTAGGGGTTTAGGCTGGCTTAGAAGGGCTGAGAAGGGTTTGGGGGTTTGGGAATAATGGAGTTCAGGGGCCTGAATCTGTGGTTGCAGGGTTTCGGGGTCAAGGTTCTTTTGGACTTCCATGAGGGGTTTAGGGTTTCGGGCTAGTCTACTTTGGTCCGGCACTTACTGGTTAACCTTTGGTTTTAGATCTATGCGGGGGCTTTTCTACAGACGGGCGGAGGGTTACTTAGTCGACTGCTAAGCTATGTTTCACAGGGTTCAAGTTTTTCGTTCTCTTCGGATGTGGGCTTAGAGTGTAAGGACGAGACGAACTGAAGCGAACCCCCCCAGTCTCTAACAACCTAAAGCCCCCAAGCCCGGAAACCCCTAAAGCACCAAACAAAAAAAGCAAGACACGCAACACACCCAAAAAACTTGAGAAATGATCATGGTCGCTTTTTTAAATGTACTACAATAACCCCACCACCCCCCAAACCCTATTCAAACTAATCAGACCCCTACATTATACATAAATAAATAAATAAATATGTATATATATATATTTATATTTTTATTCATATTCATATTTATTTATTTCGTTAGATTTAGGTTTATATATATATATTTATTTATGTATTTCTTTATTTCTTCATTAATGCACATTTTGTTTATTTTTTTATTTCACAAAACCTCACAATCACTTCCTCGGGCCCCCTGCCGCCACCATCAGTTCCTCACCCGGCTGCCAGTCGACGATCTCCTCTCATCGCTGTCAGGGTGTCTGGGGTTTGGGGTTTAGGGTTCGGGGTTTAGGGTTTAGGGTTTAGGGTTTGGGGTTTAGGGTTTAGGGTTTGGGGTTTGTGGTTTAGGGTCTTGGGGTCTAGCGGCTTTAGGGTTTAGGGGACTTAGGTTGTCAGTTTAAGGGTTTTAGGGTTTGGGGGTTCAAGAGTTTTGGGGCTTAGAGTTGAAGGGTTTTAGGGCTTTGGCGCTCATGGGTTTTGGGCTTGGCGCCTGAAGGTTTTAGGGCCTTGGGGGTTGAAAGGTTTACTGGCCCTTGGGTTTTGGGTTCTGCGTGTTAAGGTTTTGGGGCTTGGGTTTGCAGAAGCCCTAAGTCCTACAAGCCCCCAAAGCTTCAGGGTCAACCCAACAACTGAGTTTGGCAAGAGGTTTAGGGTTAGAGTTTAGGGTTTAGGGAACGCGGGTCTTGGGCTAGGTGCTCCTTCACCATCCGGAACCGACCTTCTTCTCAGGGTCCGCATGCAGACCATAAAAGCGCGCTCTTGAAAACACTTTGGGGTTTAGAATTTAGGGGTTTAGTTTAGCACCCTACACCCTAAACCCTAATCTTCAGGGTCCCCCCGAAAAAAAAAAAAAAAACAGTCCTTAACAAGGATTCTCATAGGGGGGTACACTCATCTACTCCCTATCAAGGACTGTGAGTATAAGGGGGAGCATCCCCGAGGCTGAGGGTGAGCATCCCAGGGCCATGGCTTGGGGTTTGCGCCCCCGCCTGGAGCACGATCTTCATGTCTCCGGCCTCTGCCGTCTTTGCCAGCCTCGTCCACACCTGGCACGCGGGGATCCCACTTGCAACCCGAAACCCTGAAATTGGGGCAGCTCTTGTGCTGGATTTCTTTGGAGGGTTTAGGGCTTTAATAGGGTTATAGGGCTTTAAACCCTCTAGCCCTATTAAAACCCTAAACCCTCTAAAGAAAGCCAGCACAAGAGCCGCCCAGCTACCGAGTGCTTAAGACCCCCCCCCCCCCCCCCGCAAAAAAAAAAAAAAAAAACATATATATATATATATAGAGATATAGATATAGATATAGATATAGATATAGATATAGATATAGATATAGATATTCCTCCTCATCCGGGCACTGTCGGGATTGTTGTTTTAGACTTGTTTTGGGGTTCTTAGCTAGGATGGCCCTTAAAACCCTCTGAAAAATGTTCCTGAACGTGATTCTCTTAAACCCAATAAGGGCAAATAGAAGCTGTCCCCAGGGCCTACCTAGTAAAGCAAGTAATAGTGAAGATTAAATAACGCAAAGAGGGTTGCCGAACTCCTAGTCCGAAAGCGCGAGCCCGACAATAAAGTGGATTAGGGTTTAGGGCTTAGGATTCAGGGTTTAGGTATATATATATATATGCATATATATATATATAATGTCAGGGTTTAGGATTTAGGGTTTAGGTATATATATATATGTATATATAATATCCCCTCACATGAAGAGAACAGGTGCCGGAGCCCCTACAGTCCTCCCAGGGTTAAGGAATGCAGGGCCCTAAGCCCTAAACCCCAAACCCCAAACCCTAAACCCTAAACCCTAAACCCTAAACCCTAAACCCCAAACCCTAAACCCTAAACCGTCCAGGAATGCAGGGCCTTGAGCCTCGGCCTGCCATGGATGTCCAGCGTTCCGATCTTAGCCGGCACGAGACGTGGGGGGGGGGGGGGGGTGTAGGGTTTAGGGTTTTAGGGTTTAGGGTTTGGGTTAGGGTTAGGGTTTAGGAGGGGGGAAAGGAGGTGGACGAAAAAAACCTCAATCTTGCCCTCCTTACCCCACCAAAATTCGGGGGGGGGGGGGGGGGGGTGGTAGGGGCGCAGGCAGCTGTTGACTATTTTTCCATGCAAACACCACAGACAAATCACGACCTACAGGCTGTTTTGACCAGGACATATGGCACCCCCCCCCCGGCCCCCCCCCTCCCACCACCACCTACCCCCCCCCTACCCCCTCCCCCCCCTTCCCCCCCCCCATACCCCTCCCCTACCCTACCCACCCCCCTTCCCCCCCCCCCCCTACCCCC